CTGACCATAAAAGAACTGCAGAAAAAGGAAGAGGAGAATGCTGACAGCGATGATGAGGGAGAACTGCAAGACTTACTGTCTCAAGATTGGAGGGTGAAAGGGGCTTTATTGTAACGTTTTCAGGACCCAAACTTTTTAACAGCCTCTGCCCTGTAATATGTGCTGTCTCAGTACACGGAGATACTCCAGCCCCTGGGATTTGGAGACCTGTGTTCTTTTTGATAAAATGAGCTAGGGAGCGATAGCACTTTGGAAAACTGGTATAAAATATTTTTGATGAAAAGTTGCTTTTTGAGATTTTTGAAGTGTTAATATAACAGTGTCAACTTTTTCACACATTTACATGCTTAAATGTTTGAGTTGTAAAATCCGTTAAGTTGTAAACATTGTACATAGTTAAATATATATTTGCTTAAGTAATTCTGTTTTGAGATTTATATGTTAATAGAAGATTAACAGAGTTTAGATGAATATGCTATTTGTGGTTGTATACCTCTCTGGTCCACAAACTCAAAGCATTGCTGGGGGTTTTTTTCTTTTAGTAAATACACAAGTTAATCATTTCTCTAGGGGCCAGGGAGATGCTCAGTAGAATAAGCGTCTGCCTGGCAAGCACAGTTCTCTAGCTGAGTTTTCTTTCAAAAACTTGTTTTAGGAGAACACAGAAAAATATGTACAACCTCTTTATAAAGTTTCTCTTGCCTGGCCCAGTGATTGTCAGATATGTAAGTGTACATGAAAAACACCTGTGGAACTTTAGAATTCTATGCATGAATCACCTATGAAGCTTTAAAAAAAAAAAAATCAGTGCCTGAGGTCTAATCTTAGAGTCAGTAAACGTGGGGTAGGGTCAAGACAGCAACATTCATGAACACTCTGACATTATTCTAATAGATGAATTTATTTTATTTTGTTTTATTATTTTTTATTTTTTGCAGTACCGGAGATTGAACTCAGGACCATGTGCTTGACAGGCAGGCGCTTATTCTACTGAGCTCATCTCCCCAGCCTAAATGAAAAATTTGAAGAGCAGCTGCCCTAAATTCAGAGCCCATTTATATACTGCATTTTCAGGCTTTGCTTTTTTAAAGTACAGCATTTCATAAATTTGCTGTTTCTTGAATGAAAAAAATACTACCTTGTATTTCTACCTCATCTAAAATTCAATTTTGTGATAAATTAGGGCTCCTGTTTATAAGGTCTATCAAGTATTAGGAGGCTAATTTTTTCTAGCAGTAACAATTGCCCTATGTTAGTCATTGATATTTTAAAACACTCCTCCCTTTGAAGATTGAAGTGTTCAAATAGAAAAGGGAATTAGTAATGTTCTGGAGACAGAAATGCACACCACATACTCAGATGAAAGCAATAATGTTAATACTAAGATTTATGTATTTCTTAGTTTGGGCCAGACAAGATTCCAAGTGCGTGAGAGAGATAATAGATAGACAGACAGATAGTTTAATTTCACTAAAGCTCAGATTTATAGAAGGGAATACCAAGAAATAAGGTTTTAAAAACCTTTAATTCTAAAGAATTTTTCCCACAGGTAATGTGTAAACAAATGGAAGGTTTTTAAGCAAAGAATTATATCTGCAAAGCCCTATCAGGTGTGAATCTAGTAGCAGTATATAATATAGAATAGTAAGCTGGGAGACTGTGTGGAAGCTGGATCTTTAAAAGCAGGGTGACTTAAGACGTGGAAAAAGAAAAATTTCACCAAAAGATAACAGTTTTGTGACTATAAGTGGAAGAAGAAAAATAGAGATTCAGGGGATTGTTTTAGTGTAGATGCCTGGAAGATGTCTGATGCTGTACTTACTGAGCAGAAACGGCCACAAATTTAGTCCTTTTGCTTTTGATGCAGAGTTTTGCTTTTTTGAGCTGCTAGATGAGTATAACAACTTCGGTTTGATGTGTCCAAAGTAGGAATCCATCGTTTTACTATTTCAGCACACAACAAAGTACAGTAATTCCCTGACTTATGAATATTTGAGTTGTAAACTTCCACAGGTGCATAAAATTCACTTTGTTAGATTACGAAGGAATACAACTTGTGTTCTTCCAGAAGAGAACTCATGTAAATCAGGGACTTACTGTACTAAGATGGGTCTGCTTCTACTTTGGCTTATAATCCTCAAGAACACTATCTGTTAAAAACATGCAAACGGTTGGGGATATAGCTCAGTGGTAGATATTTGCTTAGAATGTGCAAGGCCCTAGGTTCAATCCCCTATACTGCAAAAGTAAAGCCAAAAAAGAATACAGGCCATATGTATTTTAAATTTTCTAGCAGCCAATTTAAAAAATAAGCAAAGAGGGCTGGGGAGATGGCTCAGTGGAATAAGTGCTTCCCTGGCAAGAGCAAGGGCCTGAGTTCCTGAGTTCAATTCTTAGTAAAAGAAAAAAAAAGAAAAGAAAAAAAAAAAATATATATATATATATATATGGCTGAGGCAGAAGGATTGTGAGATTGAGGCCAGCCTGAACATAGCAAGATAGGAACAGTGAGATTAGTGTTTTCATTTAGTATATCCAAAATGTTAATAGTTCCATATGTGATAAATATTTAAAAATTATTAGCTTTATGTATTTAATACAGGATCTCACTACACAGATCAGACTTATAGTGAACCTCCTGTTTACAGCCTTCCAAGTGCTAGGATTACAGGTGCGTGCCACCATGTCCAGTCTGAACTACCATCTCAGTTCACCCCAGGGACAGGACTGGCACTGCACACTGGGGATCAAACCCCCGTCTGTGTCTGCCTAAGCAGGTGCTTTAATCCACTGCACTATCTGGCCAGCCCTGTATTTAGAAATTATTAATGATTTTTTTTTTCCAGATGGTCTCACTTTGTTCCAGGCTGACCTCAAACTTGAAATCCTGCCTCTGCTTCCCAGAATGCTAGGATTACAGGCATGCACCCACGCACAGTGAGCTGAAATGTTTTACTTTTTTATGCTACAGTTTTGAAATCTGGATGTATGTAGCACATCTGTTTAGATAGTCACATTGAAGAAATAAGTATATGTACCTACTGGCTTCCACAAAAAAAGCACATAGCTAAAGAGAAATCCAGTGAAACATGTTCTGAGGGTAGTGAGCAGACCATTTTAACGAGAGCACAGGGTTTATTCCTGGCAACTGTGGGAATTAAGATTGGAAAGGTAGATTATGAACAGTGTGGAAGACTAAATGTTATACTGTAAGCAATCTGAACTTCCTCCAAGTTAATATTTTATCCTTGAACACATTTAATATTTTATCCTTTATTGCAGCACAATTGAACTTTAGGAGTGCCCGGTATATGTGTTTTATGGGGGTGAGGATATTTAATTTTTGTAGTACCGGGGACCAAACCTGGGACACTGTGCTTGCCAGGCAGGCACTTATGCTGCTGAGCTATCTCCCCGGCCCTGAATGCGTTTTACTGTACTTTGGGAGGCCCTTCTGGCTGTCAGTGCACTGCATCCCAGAGCAGTACTGATGGGGCCCTAAGGATAATCAGTGTTTACTGTATTATTGTTGAATTCAAGATCAGTGTAAATAGCTTCTGCAGTTAATCGCTTCTTCCTAATCCACCACACATTGGAAGATCTTATATCTTCTTTGAACTAAAATACGTTTTGGCCTTAGACTATGAATGCTGCCAGCATTCCCAAATTGTGTGAATGGTTTTTTTGTTTTTGTTTTGGGGGTGGTCTTTCTGAGATAGGATCTTGCTGTGTAGTTCAGGCTGACCTTAAGCTCACTTTGTACCCCAGGCTGGTCTCAAACTGGCAATGATCCTTGTGCCTTAGATTCCTGAATGCGGAGATTACAGGAGTGTGCCACTATGCCTGGTTTCAAACTATTAAGAATTGATCCCAAGGATTCCTTCCAATAACCTCTCTTTAGAAAGCCCTCAAATTCAGTTCACATCCCAGTATAAACTTACTGTAAATGTTATCAAGGTATCCTCTTAGCCACTTAACAGTTTTTTTGGAAGAAAAATATGCTGTTCTAATTAGCCTTCATATGTATCTTTCCAATGTGTTATAATTTACAAAGTGCTTTCATATATATGTTAATGATGGAAATAATGACTGCTTTTTACATACCAGGGATTAAGAGATTATATGAAATTAAAATTGCAGGGGAAAAGTATAATTTCAGTCTACAAGCCATAACAATCATTAGATTAGAATGGAGTGATAGTGGAAAGAGCAAGGAAATAGCAAAAGAAGACCTGGGTTTAAGTTCCTCCTCTACCTTTTAATGACTCATGATCCTGGGCAAGTTACCTTTCTGAAATTTAGTTTGCTTCACTGCAAAATGAGTTATATAACTGGAGGCAGTAACATACAGCTATAGTCCTAGCTACTCCAAAAGCAGAAGCAAAAAGATCAAGTTTAAGACGAGCCTGAGCAACTTAATAAAACCGTTTTAAAAAATTAAGACCTGGGGATGTAGCTCTGCAGAAATGGAAGGCCCTGGGTTGAAGCATATCAGTGAGATGTGAAGCCATTCTGTTGGATATAGATTGGCAGAATCTTAGATGAAAATCTTTCCTGTCGATGCTAGCTACTCAACAGGTGTGTAGAGGGATTTGAGAAAATACATGTTAGGCATGATGGCTAGATAACCTTAGATTGCTAGTTAATACTAAATATCTATTCATTTGTATGATTTGGGGAATTTAGAAGATTTATATTTGAACAGGAAAAAAAAAA